AGGGGCCGTGGGGGGGGGCGTGTGTGGGTGTGTGTGTGTGGGGGGGGCCCGTGTGTGTATGTTTTGCGGGAATGTCGGACGAGGTAAAAGGAGACTCATGTATTATAGCGATGATGTATGTATGTAGGTGCTGGGGAAGGCAATTATCTTGGCAGTTAGCGGTTAGTGGTTGCGGTAGTTAGTATGTACGACGGCACGTTTGCAGCAGCAACACTTCACTCCCAACCCCCGGGTAGTTGGTTCTTGCGTACATCTGTTTTTGGGTCATCTGTTCACTCGTTCACGTGGTTCGTCTCTCCCCCCTTCTTCCCCATCTGCCTGTCCTAAAAGCGAGGTGTGTGTCTACGTTTGTATGTATGTATGTATGTATGTGTATGCGTGTTAATATGTTCGCGGCTCAACGAGCTGCTCACCCCACCACTCGGCCACTCCGCCATTTGTAAATCCCCGCCAGCTCAAACCAACCCAAATACCCACATGCCGTACACACATACAGGATTTGAGCGGCAACAAACGCAACGGGGCGCATGATAAGGACCAGGTAGGGCTAGCCAGGTCGGGTTCTCGTCTCCCTCGTTCGTGGTTCATCTTTACCCCCTTCCCCGACATACATACATAAATACATACATAAATACATACGAACGCACATATGCGCATCCGGGAGTCTTCCTCGCCCCGCTCGTTCCCTTCACATCCTGTTGACGTTTTTGCGAAGTCTCCCAGCGGCCCACCACACTGTCTCTGTCTCACCATCCCCAACCACGCAGCTCACATGGCACAACACCAGGCGGGGCTTCCTCACCCACATCCCGGGCATTTTCCCTTCCCCGGGCTTCAACACTGCCCCCGGGTTGCCCCCCCCCCCCGGGTGCCCCCGTGTCAGTCGGGGCCGTCACACCATCCGGATGCGTCAGGATGTGTTTTGCTCGGACTATTCCACCCGTACCCTTCTCCCCGCGTTCAAATCTTACACGCGGTTGTGGGTTAGAACCAGCTGATAGGAAAACACCTGATTTTGCATTTTGGTTTACTCCTCCCCCCCCTCCTCCCCCTACCCCCCTACCCCTCCAGGAGTTCACCCGCTACAACCTGGCGTTGAAGAGGTCGTGTGAGGAGGGACTTCCGGTGCGGGTCATCAGGAGCCGTAAGGTGGGTGGCGTGGGTGTATGTATGTATGTATGTATGTATGTATGTATGTATGTATGTATGTATCGCAATGTGTGTTATCATCTGTGTATTAGTATAGGTTTATGTGGAGGGGAAAGGATGTGAGTGGGGTGTGGAGTACGGGAGTTCAAAACGGAAAGCTGGCCACTATCACCTCCTGCCCTCCCCCCATGCATACATACATACATATTTACGTACACGCCTACACAGGAGAAGCGCAGCGCCTTCGCTCCGAAGGATGAGGCCCTCAAGGAGCTCCAAGAGCTGGTGGCGGCGGCGGCGGCGGGTGGGGGTGGGGGTGCCGGCGGCGGCGGAAAGAATTCCGCTCCCGTGACGACGACGTCGCCGAAAAAACGTCAGCGCGGCGGCGCTGGCGGCGGCGGCGGGACAGGCAAACACACCGCCGCCACTGCCGCCGCAGCAGGCCGGCAGACCGCCGTCAAAGCCAAAACGAAAAAGAAGGCAGAAGAGGAGGACGAAGATGACGATGATGATGAAGGCTCTGATGATGATGATGATGGTCAGCAGGACGAGGAGGGTTCAGAAGAGGAGGGCGAACGCAGCAGCGAGGTGGGCTCGGAGGACGACGACGACGAAGAGGACGAGGCGGAGGAGGAGGACGATGATGGCGATGAGAAGGGAGGCAAGAAGGGAAAGGCCGCTGCCGGGACTGGCGGCCCCTCCCCCTCATCGACTGTCCAGGTGGCCGAGGCCAAGGCCTTCGCTCCAGTTCGCTACGACGGCATCTACCGGGTACTGGCGTGCTGGCGAGGCAAGGGGGCCGCCAACTACCTGGTTTGCAGGTGGGGGCGGGAGAGGGGCGACCAGGGCCTTGGTCGAGTGAGTGAGTGGGTAGAGGTGGAGGCGGGTAGCGGGAAAATATGGGGAGGTAGTTGTTTTTTGATGTACGTGGGCTTTGATGTACGAGCAGATGGCGTCAGTGGGGGCGTTACGCCTGACGTCGCAATAACCGTCACCACC